TATATATATATTTTTATCTTAATTAATATGTGATCAATTCTTATTTATGCTTACAATTACACATACATTTGAGATCCTTATCGTTTTGTCAAGTAAGGTCATTTGTCGTTCATTATTTCTTTTCCCACGATTGTATAATTAGCGCATAAGAGTTATGACATATATCGTGGAAGAAGATAAAAGATATATTATATAAAACATTAGTCGCAAATTTCAGTTTTATATGATGTTGCAATTCAACTGCAATACGCGCACATACAAATACACTGTCATGTTGTATGTTCTCACTATGCATTCGCGTTTGCATTTTACAAGAAACACAACATACACTATATACGTACATTATATATTTCTGATTATAGATATTGTATAATTAAAAAGGGACTAGAGCTATTATATACTTATCGAATGTACGCGATTCAATCAAGTATAAAAAAATCTCCTTTTCGCGAAAATTTCGCGGTTCATAAAATCGAAGAATCACATCAATAACAGGGTGATATTTCACCTCTCTGCAAACGTCATCGATCGAGAAGGTCGTTCTATTCCACCTCTATATATCGAAGTTAAAATAACTTCGATCTCACGCTGCGAAGCCATATATACATTCGGGTCCCTCCCTCCACCGGGCCGTTATCAGTTTATCGATCGCCTCAAGTTCACGGCCGACATTTGTACTTGTTGGGTCGACGCGCGCATTAAATGCATCATACTTTCACGTCTAGATAAACATGAATTTTTCTGTCTAAATTATCATTGAACGACAGTCTGTCTAGGTAAGGAATCACCGTTTATCACAGGCAGTAGTGCTAGATCCATACTTCCGATATCCGGTTCCACGGTATGGATTCCCCGTAGCTTTTGTATTCGATGCCAGACGAAATTCCTGACGGGCTTCCTCAAGACGAACAAGCCGAAGACGAGGACGCCCTGAAGAGCGTTCACTAGATCGAACGCTGACCACTCCAGAGGGCCAGCCCACCAAGAGACCAATTCCATCATCCAATTGAGACCCATCAGGAAGAAGAGCACCAGGCAGACGACGAAAGTCCGTTTGATTCTGCGGAAGAGTCTCTGATCCTCTCGATCGGAATGCTCATTCCTCGCCATGCGTCTTAACGCGAGCTCCTGCTGATAGCGGCTGATCTTGACAGCCGTGATTATGAAGAGAGTCGTATTCGACACCAGAAGAAGACCGATCGGTACGTAAAAGTACGGCATGGCTTCCGCGTCGGCTGTAGAAGAAGCAATAATAATTAATATACCGATTAATTTTCCTTTCTCTCGGATATTGATTGAAGATGAGAAGCTGAGAGTTATGATGATTCTTTATTACGATGATGGAAATTATTATATGGATATTATCTCTTCGCGTGGATGACGATTGTGATCAAATCGCTTACGTTTCCTCAAATGTTGATTATTTATTTTTTTGCAAGACAATATATCTACAAAAAGCTTTGCTAATGTATGACTGGATGACGTATGTTTGATGACATACATATATACGCGAGATCTGTAAATGGACTCACACTTGAACCAGCAGCTGTCGCTACCGAAAGCGGGCTTGACGTAGGTCATGGGTATCGTGGGACTGAGATCCATCGCCATCGAGACGAGAATGAGAATCGCCGACGGGCCCCAGGCCCATATCGAGTAATAGAAGAACAGCCTTTTGGACTGAATCTTTCTGTACGAGCGATGGTTCACATGGTGACGTACTAATGACCAAGTTTCGATGCACATCACGTTCAGCCAGAAAAAGCAGGCCACGAACGAGAACTGGATGACGAACGCTGAAAACGATACCGGCCATACGGTCTCTTAATTAGCACGTCTGTCATTCGCCTGTCGTTCTTAAAGAGCGAACTGCGACAGCACGGAATAATATTTTACGATATGGTCGAAATTATAACGTTCCTTAAAAGCGTGATAGTCGGATACAAAAGAATACAATATTCAAAATTATAAGAAAATATTACAATTTAATACTCTGCCTATTTCTCTCAAATAGATTCTTGTAATAAATTTAATTAATCGCAAAAAATTCAGGTTTTCTCGTTACAGCCAAGGCTGATAAACAATTATGATATAACATGCATTTTCATGTATCAATGTCACATTTATACACGTTCCTCCACGTTGGATAATTAATTGTCTTACCCATGCTAACGCAGACTTCAAACGGAAATCGCGAGCTCGCGAGTTGCGTAATGGCCAAAGTACTGAAGGCCACCGCCAAGCAACCGCAATAGTGACAAAGGGCTTTCCCGTGGACGTCCCTTAATCGTGGCGTTATCACGTACGCCGCGATGGTGAGAATAAAAAAAGGCACCGAGATCAAGAGCCCACAAGCGTAAACGATGACCCGTACATCCGCGATTTCTGCAATCATATTACATGTTTTATTAAGAGATGTCATGAAAAAGTCTATAAAATGAATTATTGTCTACGTTTCGAATATTTTTTAAGACTATATTGTTTTATATAAACGCATCATGCGAATGAATAAGAATTATCTTCTCAGATTAAAATTCCAGACTTAAGAGAGAGATTGTCAACAACGATTAAATATCTTTGCATAAAATACTTATAAATACGGATAAGATGCAGAGATAGAGAAAAAGTTTTGGTTTTCTTTTTCTATTATTTTGTCCCATTTTGTTCGATTACATACCTTCTTGGAAACAAACGAATACCATAAGTCCCTGTTCGGGCACAATTTCCATGCAGTAGTCCTTACCGGGCATGAGCATGATTGGTGCATAACTGATTCTAGGCGCGAAGATGGAACCATTTAATAGTAAATAATATTTATCCTTCTCGTCTTTCTTCGGTTCTAGCATGTACCTGAAAATTTTCGTGTTTGAGTACGTATGTACGGATACGCGCAAACCTAGACTTGAGAAAGGTGCACAAGACTTGAATATTCAAAAGTAAATAAAGTTATTACCGGGATTCCACGCGAGATATTTCCGAGAAACGGGTTTTCGTAATCTATGAGAAACGAGTTATGCACAAGGAAATAATCGTCGTACAGGAACATTCGATTATGATGGAAATCAAAATATTTGTTTGTGCGGTAGAAAAGAATAAAACATTGTTTTTCACGAGATATTGAATGTTGCTTCTCGATATCTCGCGTCTTACATATTCTTTATACTTGACAAAAAAAAAATCAAAACTCGTAAAGTATACTAGCAAAAAAAAAAAAAAAAAAAAATCCATAAGAGTTGTTAAATTAATCCGTGTTACACAAGGATATGACAGTATCTTGTCAATCGTGTGATAAAAAATGGACTGATTTCTGGGATAAACTGTGGTCATATATTACAAAATTATAATGTTTTTCTAAATCTATATCTGAATTCGCAAACCATAAATCTTGTCGCTCAAGCGCAAATATATAAAAATTGATTATATCTTATATCCGTTATTTATCAATAGTTTGCGACAATGCATTGTCTTTCGCCGTGTCTTATCCGGCGAGATTAAATGCCACTTTGATTTCATCTCCGCTGATTATCATGGCACGATAAATAATTTCTTTTATTGGGAATAATCAATTACATTATCTGTCGCTTGGAGCCGACAATGAGTGCATCTATCAACTTTAACAGTTCATAAATTATTTTTATTAAGATACACAATTTGCTCCTCCGATGTCTCATAACGCGTCTCATAATATCTTATAAATATCTAAGGAATGTAATATCGAGAATGCAGAATTATCAGTAGTATCGATATATATTATAATATACTATATATATAATATTATATAATATACTATATTATATATAATATATAATATCTATATATATTATATGTATATATAATTATAGTATCGATATATGATTTTTCTCGATTTATTTTCTTTAAAAAAAAAAAAATTATAAATTAATTTCATCTTATGTGATTTCCGGCATATTTATACTTCGCGTTATCATTCATAACTTGTCGCAAAATGCAGAAATAATTCGCGAAATTATTCTTCATTATATTTGCTAAATGTAACACATAATCGATAAATTGAGTTCGTACCGAACTCTCGAAGCTAATCGTCACTACGACACGAATGAAAATGGAGTCTTATCGTAGGATGACCAACTGGCGTTCCGATCTATTGATAAGGATATATCGATAGTACGATGTCTATACATTTTATATTATATAACGAGTGGTCTTCAAGAAAAAATAATTTGTAACGCGGCATAAAAGATTACTCAGCTATTTATAAATCCACGATATAATTTCTCGATACGTACTTTCGATCGCAGGGACTTCCAACGATAGCGACGAAATGAGGATATTCATCTCCGGGCACCAACACGCCGGTGAGATTGTACTGGCTGAAGAAGGGCGAGAAGTACTCCGTCAACGAATCGTTCGAGGAGACGCACTTGGGAGGCCCATCCTCGCTTTTTGCAAGAACTTCGTTTACGGGGCAACATTTTCCCACCAATGGGAGCTGTCCGTATTCCTCCGGTATTTGAGTCTCGTTTTGCTAAAAACGAAGATTGAAAGTATTTCGCCGAAGTCAGCGATTTGCAAATATTATTCAAGCAACGAATATTTTCACATTCGAAAATTCGGGAAGCTTGAGGCGTCATCATGAATATGAATAAAGGAGACAATGACGCAAATAAAGCGATAAATAAATTGTCGACGGCGTAAAAGCAAATTATTTATGAGTAAAAACTGGTTTGAGAGACTTCAGGATAGAGATATTTTTCGAAATCATACAAAAAATGTCTGAGATTATTTTACAGCAGATCTCTTAATACTTTTATAAAACTGTTTTCGCATAAATGTTGAGTGTTTGAAAGATAGTCAAATACACAACAATTTATACGTTGCAATACATAAAATAAAAAATTAATCACAAGTTTTTAAATAGTGTTTGCGTTGATCTGCGATCAAAATGTATTTGTATATTTTTTCGCATTAGATATTTCATTCCCCAGTCTTTCCCGAAATTTCTTACAAAATCTCACGCATCGGAAAAGATCACAAATCAAGTGTCTGCCGGACTCTTATCTGGATAGTATCAAGAAACAGGTATCGACAACGGCTTAAACTAAATATAATTCTGCGAGATGGAAAATAGCAAGAAGATCAGACACAGAAATAAAAATATATAAGATCTAAATTTAATCTCATAAAAGTTCTGCTTACCAATGGAATAAAACGTATAATGGGTGGTACATCACTCGTGTGCGCGATTGGCGCCAACAGATACACGAAAAGGGCGCAGATGCGAATGAGACTCATCCTGGATAATATTTACGTCTTGTCAAAGTCTATGAAAAATGTATCTTCGCACAGTTGAGATTTATATCGCGTCAACTTTCAAATATACTTATATTAAATATCGAACACCTTGTAAACATAATCGAACTTTGGATTTTTCATAGAATGGGCTCTACAAACGAGAATGGCAATCTAGCTTTGCTCTGGATATGTCGATGATAGGAGATTAAATCGTACGATGCGCATCTTGGTGACGTTTGGACGGGACAGGCGCTTCCACTCTTCGTCTTTCGTCACTCGATATCATATATTAGAATCTCTCTTGCACATTTATCTCGTCACACCCTGCTTGCACTTATCGATAAGTCTTCTATGTAATGCCAACTTACTAAACGCTTAATCGGTTTCGATTAAAGATCTGAATCCGCTTTCGATTCGGCTTCATGAATTAGCCAGACGGACGTAACTCCGAGGCTCTCGAGAATCATAGAATCAAGATTAGTGATGAATTATCTCTATTGATTCTCGAATCACTTGCTACTTCTATCGTATTTTTTCCGACAATCTTTTTCTCCGCAGCGATCTCTCCGCATGAGTACTCGCGTATCCATCAATCACACTCGATGTCAGGGCGCGTGCTAAGTCATCTGGAAATCCTTTCGAGACTCGTAGTCCGAAAAACCTACGGTGTTAAAAATGGAGACGTTATCGAATAAGTTGATCGAATTTTTTCGCGAGATTTTATTGCATCTATAAACGAAATACCGACTTTGAAAGGAACGATCTTAATGTCTCATTTGCATATTTATTCCGGAGAAATCCGGATCGGATCAAGGCAATCGAAATCTCATCGACGAAGACGTCACTTTCAAAAATCGGTGAGGAAAGTATCGAATGTCGTATCGATACGAGCCCGATGATGAGTGAAGGTCATTGACCTGCGATTCCCGCTATCTCATTATCCGAGAAGCGGATAAAGAGCGGCAAGCAGCGGACCTTATCGTATAGTCCTGCGGTAGTTGCCGGTTATTAACTCATCCGCCATTATATTTCTCCTACTCCAAGACCGGCTTTCAGAAAGTGACGTCGTCGTATCCGCATGTACCGAATAGAGGCGAACTTACGAGAAACTTTTTGACACTGGATCTTCGAGACTTGGCGCGATTGACTCTTACAATAAATTATTCAACACCGGATTATCGATTATCAAGGATCCGTTCATACTCAATCGTCCGATCGTCGGCGAACTCCAACTTATCTCGTTAAATCCTTAGAGATATTTTTCACTGTACACGTTACTCTCTCGAGAATCGGAATTTTATCTTGTCATTATTAATAAAAATTTTCCATGCGGGAGAGATCTTTTTTCCGGCCACTTTAACAGGTAATCCCAGCGGCAGGCATCAAAGTTTGACAGCGTGCTCAGCGATCGATAGGATCCACGCGACACGTGGTTCACCGATCGAAGTCCGAGAAGCGACTGGACGGGCACCGCGATCCGCTCGTGCCTTTATCGAATGAGAGAGCGATCTTTCGCGTGTGGCGATGCACACACTCTGACGAACGTGCCGATGACTGAGCTCGGTGTTTATGTATGTATGTATATGTACGTGATATATACCGAAGGTATTTCGCATCCGCGCGCACGCGGCGTTATCAATTGTCCAAGAGACAAGATATTCGCTTCGATCTCTGGTTGATTCGCTAACTGATCGCGCAATCTGCTGTTCTCGGAAAGACCGTCCCTTGAAGAGGACTCTGTTTAAATTTATCCGAATTTTATTTTTATCTCCCACAAGTGTGACTGTCGCTAAATATCTCGTAAATTGCGCGCTAGTCGCGTAAATTGAGTTAACTATGTTAATTACGTTTTAAGTTCGTTGCACGCGTAAAATATCAATGTTTGCAGAAGGTGTCACGCGTGATTCACGTGAATCATTCGTTGCGCATTCATTGAAAAATCATTTCAATGAAATATTACGGGGAATAGCCAAATATGATGGGACGTGTTATTATTTTATAAAATTCTTTTTGAAACTTTTGGAGACGTGAACGCAAATCGATTCGGACCTTCTGTCGAAAAATCTATGCTTATCACTCGGACATCTGACGCAACGTACACATTTTTTAAAGATAACGCAAACACTTGAACGTTATTACCGTACTATTGCATTACATCAAGAGATTAAGGATAATGCAAATATATATACAATAAAAAAAATTGTAGGAATTCTTTTAATGTGCATTCAGTGAGAGATGAAACCGTTTCTCATTATCGCCAAGACGGAATTCCTTATACAAACTTGTGCTATTTTTATTAAATTGCGATGCGACAGAGGCAAATAATCGCAAGTTATCGAACAAATTCCCGTACAATCTCATAGGAAATGACGTCGACGAAATTCGCCGAAAGCGAGCGTACTTATTGCTAACACATCGCCACGTCATTTGCCTGTTCGAGCCTCCAATGAATCTATTGATTACTTATTGATACGGATTCCTATCAAATAATTCGATTGGCACTTCTCAGAAAGTCTTTAATCAATCAGATCCGGACTTGCTGCGGAACGTATATCTCCGTTTAAGCTTTATGTACGCACAGCGGGATACAACAGACGAAGCGTAAATGAAGGCTGGGTTGTGTTGGCGTCGCAAAGTGTAAAATAGCAAGATATAAAATTAAACCGAGTCTCTATTTCGGTCGGTTTGCAATGCAAACGACAATAACTTGCATTCAATGTCCGGGCTCGAGCATTCTTTAGAAAAATCATTATTATTACGATATATATTATTATAAACGTCCTTTTATCTGGCGCTCTGAGATTAATCTCTTCTCAAGTTCGGAATCATAAAAAACGGATAAGCATTGTAAATTAAAACATGCCTAGAGAAATTAGAATTAATTTCAAAATTTCGATGAATGACATCAAACATCCAGAAATTGTTCGCGTTACATAAAGACGATGAGGAATATTCGTTAAAAAGGAATAAAGAGTAAAATTAAAGTTCACACGATATTATCAGATTGTATTTAAATACAAGCAACTTGATGGCATTAATAACGCGCAGGTGCGTTATTATGGGAACGTGACTTGTGTTATCGGAGCATCGTTTCGAACAAACGATGAATCTCCGAGTCTATAAGATTCTTTTAAAAACGAGCATTGTTTACAAGATCCAAATTCGAGCGGGTCGATTCATCGTTCAGAAGTAAACTCGATTTCCGCGTGGGTGACTTGGAGAGCTTACTTTAGCCGGCCCAAGTCCCGGATTTACGGTATCCAAAGATCAAATATAGAGTATGCCGTAACAGATCGCACGTGAGCTTGCCTACAACTTGCGACTTAATAATCATATCACAAACTACGTCATTCTGTTTGAGGATCCCGGCGAGTTCCACCGTATAATCGAACATCGTCATTAATGGCTAAAATGATAAGGTCACGGGTCCGGGACCCGGTTATAAATATAGCGTTTGACGTAACATGCTGCAAATGTAGCCTCTTCCTCCTGCATATATATGTATTAAACAACAGAGTGAGATACGTCTGGGCGCGAAATGAAAGATGAAAGCGAAAATTCGATGACGTCGCTGCCGACAGCGTGTAGGCGTGCGGCTAGGAAATTCGCGTTGCATGACGTTCAGGACTTCCTACACACGAAGGAAATCCCGAATCGACGTTATATACGTAAAAGGAAAGGCCAATAGGATTGATCGTACTTTAAATTGAAACTCTGCTGTAACAACTCTATAGTAAATAAGGTATTACCATAATATTCGATTTGCATCTGATAATCCCAGGAGTTAATGATTTCTCTGAAACTTTTAGAATAAAATCTCGTATTGAAAAAGAAATATAATAAAATAAGAATATTACGTATTAAGAGAAAAAGCATGATCAATCTTATCGCTTCCTCAAAATCCTCAAGAACCCTATATCCTTACAGCAATTTAATGGTAAAATTATTTGATTTGTGTTTGATAATCCCAGGAGTTAACGATTTCTTTAGAATAAAATCTATTGAAGAAGAAATATAATAAAATAAGAATATTACGTCGTATTAAGAGAAAAAAACATCAACTTCATCGTTTCCTCAAAATCCTCAAGAATCTTATATTCTTACAGCAGTTTAATGATAGAAATATTCGATTTGCGCCTAATAATCGCGCAGGAATCAATGATTTTTTTGGAATTTTTAGAATAAAATCTCGTATTGAAGAAGAAATATAATAAAATAAAAATATTATTAAAAGAAAAAGCGTGATCAACCTCATCGCTTCCTCAAAATCCTCAAGAGTCCTATATCCTTACAGCAGTTTAATGATAGAAATATTCGATTTGCGTCTGATAATGACAGGAATCAATGATTTCTCTAGAGTTTTTAGAATAAAATCTCGTATTGAAGAAGAAATAAAATAAGAATATTATTGGGGGAAAAAGCATGATAAATCTTATCGCTTCATCAGATTCCTAAGGAGCTCTATATCCTTAAAGCAATTTAATGATAGAAATATTCGATACCCCGATACTATCTCGATTATTTTCATTTCCTAAAATTTTATCTTTTTCGTTGAAGGATAAAAAAGTACTTTTGCGCTAAAATGGAAAATAAAACAATTATTATTCGAAAGATGTATTGTTATGTAAAGACTACATTGATATTCACGCGGAGAGCTCAATGCCGGTCTGATATTCATTTCATCAAATCGTATCGCGAACTATACTGCTCTCTGTTAAAACATTTCGCACTTCAAGTTCGAAGGCAGTCGATAACGTAGCGTGTTTACGTGGCGCACAAACACTCTTTAATAATCTTTTTATTAAATTAATTAATCGCAAAAAGTTGAATAGTAAACTTTAGTGAATAATCGTGAAAGTTTTGCGATTCGAAAGAGAAACGGCTTTCTGAAAGTTTCGCGAAAAATATTCAACTATTCAGCCAGGAACGCTGAACGCGGCAATCTCTCGTAGTGTAATATTAAACTTTCAACGAAAGGGGCTCGGTATACAAACGCTCCAATATACGCTCAAAACTATCCTGAAATTTTGCCTAAAGGCATGTCACTGGATCGTCAAAATATTGTTGCTACGAAAGAGTTCGCCGCGATACGAAGTGGAGAGAGACGCTCGGTGACCGAAATCTGTGGCAAAACTTTGGACATAAAACTTTTTCGTTCCTTTTTGCACCGGGCGTGAATTATTTAAGCAAGCTCTTCCCAAATTTGTATATTTGTGCACAAATTTATTTCGCACCGTTTACATTATTATTACGACTCTTTCTTCTCTATTTCGATTCGCAACGTCTTTGTCGCGTTGTCTACGTTCAATTCTCGTTAATTGATACGATATATCCTTTGATACTATTTTAAGATTCGGAGAGGAATCTCGAGTGAAGAAAATATAATAGCATGGGATTCGTTTGGCTCAGTGGCAAAAGTGCGTAAAATTAAGAGTAGGAGATAAATCCTAAGACCGTGTCCCGTTGTAGCCCTGTTATTTTTCCGTCCGCTCATTCAGGCGGGAGCAGACTTACTTAAAGCAGATTACTTAAACATAGTGCGCAATTATTGATAGCTTTAATCAAATGCGAAGGCTATTCATATAAAAATAATACATGGGAGTTTGCAGAGGCTGTAGCAACTTGCAAAAATATATTGGAAGAACTCGATAGACTCTCGCTAAACAAAGAAGCTTATAATAAACAGTTTGTTGTTGAACTGCTTTAAACTTCTTTGTTTAGCGAGAATCTGCTCAAGTTCTTGCAATATATTTTTGCAAGTTGCTACAGCCTCTGCAGACTTCCATGTATTTTTTTTTTTTTTTCATGCAAGTTTCCTTTCCATTTGATTAAAATTATCAAGACTTGCGTACTATGTTTAAGTTCAATTAAATACTCGATATTTCTAGAAATGATTTGCATAAATACTGGAAAAAAACACGTCAATGTTATGAAACGATCCTTCGCAAACATTTATCATCAGCGTTTTTTCCTCTTATAAAAAAGATATTAATTAATAAGAAAAAAGTATATTTTTTATACTGACCTGATTTACGATCAATATTCCTATCTATATTATTATACATAGGAATATTGATGGCAAATTACTATAAAAACATATTTTTGTAGTAATTAATTTCTTAACAAGTTATCTTTTATATATAATAGAGTATAAATAGAAGTATTTTCATCGTAAATTAATATAAAAACATGTTTTTTTTTTTTTAATTTATCTATACTATGTATTATAGAATAAAAGATGACTTAGAACCTCTTCTCTGGGCAAAGCTCAAGGCTATAGACTTTCTCGGTTTTATGTTCGAATATTCATTGATATAATCTTCGACGATCGTGTGGACGATCGCAAGGTTTCAAGAACCGGATTCAAGGCGATGCAGGTTTTTTTCGAGCAAAGGGCCGAAACGCGCGGTCGGGCGACGTCACACACGAAATTGTCACGAGTCTCGCGTGCATCGACGGTCAGTGACGTCGGTTTTCTGCTTATACACGCATCGTGTACGCTTCGCGGCGAACGCATTGACGTGGTCCACGCGACCTTGACAAACGTATTTCCCCTCGTCTTTGCCTTTAAGGTGCAAATAAATTCAGCGAGCCCTGTTATAACCTTTCGGAATTCAATAAGCCTTGAGAAATATTACACGTGTCTCAGTTAGAAATTATAATACAAAGTAATACGCAAGAGGAACTAGTTGATTTGAATAGTAGAGGTCATTCAGAGTTATGCAGAGAAGATAATGCAATTCTTTTACATGCGCGAAGGAAATTATTAACTGTTAATTATTATTATTCCTCTTTCACGCGACTCTTGAACCCTGTTCTTCCCGAAAAAATTTAATAATCTTTATAATCAGTTAACTAAATAAATAATCCAAATATCTCAGCAAATATCAGGCTTCATCGCGCGAGATTGCCCTTTCGCGCAAAATAATGGAATTAATTCTCAGTTCGTCGATCGCAGAAGCGCGGGAACGGAAATATGGCTTAATAAAGCCTCGTCGCGGACCGCCATGATGTTTCCCTCCCCTCGCCCTTCCCGCGGATCCCTTCCCTCACCGCCCTTTTTAATAAAAATATTTTTCCCCTTCCGTCGTGGTTCTTTCCCTCCTACGAGAGCCCGGCTTCATCCCTCTCGCTCTCTCGCTCGCTCGCTCACTCACACTAACTTGTGGTGTTAGGGTGAACGCGATTTGGGGTCCCCCTCTCATGGAGGCACTTAGCGTGAAGGTATTTGTCTATCGAAAACTATACCCTCGTTGCGCTCGCACCGAGGAATCCGTCCCCCTCGCACGTTCTTTACGAGATTTCCCTTTACGAGAATCGCGCTGTTTTTCGGTGGAGTGTTCGATAGTTAGTGACACGTGTGCACGATTTGTGGACACGAAGGAAAAATAGAAACTACCTCCGTCTCCCTATACTCTCTCGTTCGATAGGGACTCTTCTATATTCCGATATACCCTCGTCACAAACATGCCAAAAATACGTGACCTTAAAAACTTATAGAGAAAATCGTAAAGCTATGAAATTGTTGAATTATCTTATTGTATATAATGACTTATCATATTTGAAAATTAAATTTATATATACATATGCATATAAATTTAATTTCCAAATACAATGATTAATTGTTATACAAAACATATATGTATATAAAATTGTATTATATATACAGGATGTATATATAATGTAAATTTGATTAGCGTTGCTTGTAATCAAATCGAGTGAATCTATGTTATCTAAAAACCAGATGGCCAAACGCACACATATATACAACGTCTGTACATTAATTATCTCTAAATATTTAAATCTATTCTATCTAAATTTCGTATTTCATGAAATTTCGAGGCTGGAGCTTCAACGCAAATGGAGCTTCCGTTGTAATAACGCGTTGCCTCCCTTCCCTTCGACTATTCTAGATATTTTCGATCCACCAGTCTACAGGCATGCATATTACGCGTCGAGGGAGTTCCAAGCGAGGGAGAGAGGAAAGGGGAAAGGGTGGATTTTGTTTTGCAAGATGCACATATACAGTATGTCGCAACGAGGCGATTAAACGATCGTAAAGCTTAACGTTTCACCGACGACCGGCCTCCAGCAATCAATCGGTCCCATTGTGGCCGATGTTACCTTCGGTACACTCTGTATACGACTGCACATATATATACAGTATAGGCTCTCCCTCTGTTTCCCTCTCTCTCTCTTTCTCTCTGGTACTATCTATCTCTGCTGCTCTATCTATCCGTCTCTTTCCTCTCTTCATGGTCGGTACTCCGCTCGCGAGTCGCTGCCTCGGGGCGAGGGATAAGAGCATATCAGTGCTGTCGCCAGTATGACCTCTTGCCCCGTTCCAGAATGGATACAACAAATTTTAATATAAATTTGTTATCATCGTTAATTATACGAGTTTTTTAAATGTATCTAATCAAAATAGATAATGTATGTATTTTACATGTATATATATATATATA